TGTAAGATTGTTGTGCTGAAATTGTCATGCGAAGATTGTGCCAAGTTTGTTGTGCTGAGATTGTGGTGCTTAAATTGCCATGCTTAATATTATTCATTTTAGCATACTTTGACACTTTGGCTATTGAAGCATTTAGAAGGCTGAACACTAGTGGACAATAGAATTGGTCAATAATATATAAATATATAGAATTTATTCAACCAGGTTATGCATTATAAGTTAAGGTAATATTTTGTACATACTATTAATTATTTATATACTTGAATATCAGGACTATTTACAGGTTTTACAAAAGAAACTTGTCTTTTTTTTAACCACTCTTGGTACCCTTTCACAACCACGATGGAACCATTCCTGACACTTATCGCACTGGATCATGAATACATCATTTATGTGTGGTTGTCTGCAGTGGCAAAAAACTTCAATTTCCTCACTGCTGAGATAAATTTGGTGACTCCTCTCTGCTCCTGACATTGGAAAAGGTGACAATTTCCCATCATCAATGCATCTTAATAGATGCCGACGCATTTCCTTCGGTTGCCATGTACAATTCTGTGGTAATTGACCAAAGCACAGACTCGTTGCAACAGAAATGGCAAATAAACCACAGTCTGAAGTTCCTTCTTGTTTCTGCAGATCTGCCCACAGCAGTGTCATGCACTTAGATGCTGGCATGAGCGTGTATGCAATTTGCCTCAAAAATTTTGATCTGCAAGTGGCACTGATTTTGTCATACAGACTATCATAAATGACAATAGTGTCCTTGGGGCAGCCAACATTACTAACAACGATCCAGTGGTTTCCACCAATATTTAAAATTTGTACAAAACTCTGTTCTGGAGTACCCACACGCTGACAGCCATCTGGCACAAATACACAAACAGGTTGCAAGCCTCCAATGTTGTCAAATTGCTTTGCCAGTATTGCCTGTGCATGGTCGATGTGTTCATCTGACAACCATTTGCCATCTTGAATATCTGGGGTGAGGTTTTTCACATTGTTCTTCAGTCTTGCTGATGTAACAGGTAGTGGTCCCACTTTCCTCTTTTTGGCCTTAACATGGGCAACAACTTTTATCTCTTCATCATCTTGCATTGGGTGGTTGGTGACACAGGCTTTGTCATCTTTCAAAGACCTTGTTTCAACAGAGGTTGGGGGTCCTTGAGGTGAGTTGGGACAGGTCTCAGGCACATCAGTGTCACTGTCCAAGTGGGGCCTGCTGGTAGCTGTTCTAATTACTGGTCTGTGGAGATCACTTGTCACATGTGGTCTGACTTGGTTGTACGGGACTTTCACTTTAAGATTCTCCCCGTTTTCAATATATGCTAGTTGGATTCTTTGGTTATTATCTATATCAACAATCCTACAAAATGGAAAATGCTTAACTTAATGATCTTGTGGTAATTTGTTAAAGAATTAGAAACTCAAGAAGTTTTAAGGAGTAACCAAAACTGTACAAAACTTTTCCTTGTCCTGTAAAATTGTTGTGCAATAAACATAACCAAGGTAAAGTAAGGTCCATTATGAATTTTACACAATGATTAATACCTGTATGGACCAGTCCATGTAGCTTCCATTTTTTTCCACCTTGGCGTGCAGCATTCTTCATACATTTACGGAGAACTAATTTTCCGACTGCAAAAGTAAAAACTTTTACTCCCTTTTCTTTGTTCTTTGCATATTCTTTCTTTTGCTTTGCTTGAGCCCTCTCGACATTCTCTTTTACCTATAAAGAAAACAAAATACATAACCATTGTAGCCATTATTGGAATCTTTAGGGTGCCAAACATATCTGGTGAAGTACAAAATATAAAGCAAGACATGTACTAGGTAAATCAGCTTATCTGATGCAATAAAATTTAAAAATTTTCAACCTGTTGATTGACATTTGTCATCGCAGAAGCTCTGGCCTGGACTATTTCCTCTAGGTCTTCTTCTTCTAGCATCTCCTGCACAATATCCGAGTCATCTTCAAATCCCTGTTTCATTTACAAAATTAATAATTAAGCAATGGAGAATTAGGTTCAACTATTCATGAATATGAACCTAGTAATTTAAATTTAGTATCTTTTTTGTGTTGCACGCAATATTGCATTATATTAAGAAAAAACAGCTTGGTTTTATACCTCCATTGGCGTTCTAGGTTGCCGACCAAACATAAGGTAGAAGGGGCTGTATTTGGTGGAACCTTGTTTTTGGGTGCGGATTGAGAATGCAACCTCTTCCAGATATTCATCCCAGTTATCTTGGCATTCGTTGACGAGTTTAGACAATCGAGTCTTTAAGGTCTTGTTGGTTCGTTCATCAAGGCCGTTGGTTTGGGGGTGGTAGGCACTGGTAACTGATCGATTTATGTTGAATTTCTTACAAACTTCACTATTTACCTGTAATTATAGTAAACGAAAAATTTACACAAGTTAGACTTGTAAATTTGTATGAAAATACAAGATGATATCAACTACCTTACCTTTGCAACAAATTCTCTGCCTTGGTCAGACAACAGTCTAGCAGGGGCACCCCTAGTATCCCATGTCTAGCAGGGGCACCCATGTAGTCAGCATCTTCAATATTTTCCCCAATGAGCAGAGTAATGGGTCCAGTTGATTGTTTAAACTTTGAAGGGACAACAAATGAACAATATGGTAGCTACAAAGTTCAGATTTTAAATACAATTTTCTGTCAAAGATCAAAGAAGTTAAAAACTTAAAATATATGCGTAATATGCATACATGTATATGATTGCACAACAGTTATATAATCACTTGAATATTTTCTTCATACTTACATATTCTGTCACATCAGCTTTCATACCATGCCACATATAATATTGTGATATTTTGGACAGCGTATTGTTTATTCCACTATGGCCACCCATTGGGTTGGAGTGATACTGATGCAAAATTTCTGCAATTTCTTCGAACTCCATCACAACTTTCTTTTTTAAATCTTTTTTAGGCCCTATGTATATCAGCTCATTTTCTACAAGAAATACCATAATACAATTTTACTCATCCAAAACCTTGCAACTTAAATAGCTAAAAATTTTGCATTGTTCCATATATGCAATATATGCTTGGCATGACAATTGAAGACATGATTCCATCATGCACCAGTATATTCACAGTGTGGTGCACAGAGACAATAATGCATAGTTTGATCAGTCTTGCTATGCTGCTATGGCACTATGCAGCTTAGTTGAAATCATTTAGAGTATTAACCCACTGAGATACAGGGGTCTCCTCTAGACAAGTACATAAATTAAACCCAAGGTTCACTAGGGTCCATGTTTGCATTGCTAGTTAATAGTATAAACAGCACAGACTAGAAAACAAACTACATATAGATGACTTTGACGCTTACTTGTTGAATCAAATTTGTGTGTTGCAGCTTTATTCTTAATATTTCTTATTTCTTTCTTGCTCAACTCAGGTCTGCACTTCTTATCCAGCAGGTACTCTATTAGCTTCTCACACTGACTTTTATGTATCGTAAGTCTTACATTCCTCAGTTCTGCTTGACTTTTTGTTTCAGGCAAGTTCTGCTCAGCTGAGCCATAAGTGTTGTCAAACGTTACGACATCGATTGAATCACCATGTTGCAGGCATCGTGCACAGCAAACTGACAAATATAAAAAGTAACATAATAATTAAGCTTTTTTTAATGATGAACTGTTTCAAAATAGTAACTATATATTATAGTAAACTTAATATATCACTGAATATAAATGTTTAGTTTTTAATAATATCATATTAAATATGATCGGTTCATTCGGTTGATATAAATAGTGCATGTTTGCTGTAACTACTCACCTTTAGAATGCAAAATCTCCAGGAATATCTTCTGCACACAATAAATTTTGAAAGAATACGAAAAAGATTAAGAAAATAATTAAATTTTCACTAGAAATTCACTTCGCAGTATATTCTGAAGAACACATGTTGGAAATAAACAATCTGAGCACGGTCGATATTCATCGCAGGCGCATTGATCAACAGAGCATGTGCAGTACCTTATTTACAATTTCAGCACGATGACAATCTCAGACCGCTACACCGGTCGTAGTAAAAAAGTATACAAAAATCGCCAACTTCGCATGGCTATATTTTCCGTATTTAATACTTGACATTTTGCGGCCAAACTTGGCAATTAGGTGATTTATTTGACTCTTGTTGCCTAAATCAAAAGTTGGTCTATTTTGCAAAAGTTCATTGGCTAAAATACGAGCGCGAAATCACTTGGCTGTCATTGGTTGATTTAGACTGTAATTCAAAATGGCGCGTATCAGGAATGTCGAATGGCAAGAAGATGTGGAACTGAAAGTAGATTTGCAGCGTTATGTAAGCCAGAATTTACGAAAGAAAGAAATTCTGGATTTTGTCAAATCAAAATATCCCCAGTACGCTTGGAGCGAGCAAAGTCTTTCACGCCGGCTTCAGTATTTTGAGATTAGGTATATAGATTATAACATTGATGTTGAGGCCATTGAAACAGCTGTTTGCAAAGAGATTGATGGCCCTGGGCATCTTCTCGGTTACAGAGCCCTCCACAAGAAAATCCGAGAAATTCATGGATTGAATGTGCCGCGAAACTTAGTTTATGATGTAATGTACGACATAAATCCGCAAGGATTTGAAGATTGAGGAGGTGTAGGGGAACCAAGGAGACCTCAAAGAAAAAACACATTTATATCTTATGTAAGTGTATTTACAGTTATTACTAATTAGCAAGTATAATCTAAGCATTAATCTATGTAAATACTAAATAATCCCACTGCTCTAAGTGGCCTTCGCATAATCTGAATTTATTTCACCTAATGGTACTATTTTTTTTCAGGGTTCTGATTACACAATAGTGAGCTTAAGCATGTGACGTTTTTGACAACACAAACGGCATGAGTAACGTGAAAAGACTGGGTCAAGGATTGTGATTGGTGAAAAACAGAAACTTTACTTCCGGTTAACGTACGTGTTGTCAAAAACGTCACTTGCTTAAGCTCACTAATGTCATTGGATGGCCACGACAAATTGTGTGGCTACCAAAAGTCGATGTTTCCACTGTGCATCTATGGTGGCCAGGATGCATTTAGTTCAAGAGTAAACTTTTTGAGAGTTTGGACCACAAACAATGATCCTCAAGTGATTGGCAGGTTCTATTTTGATTACTTATATGAGCATAGAGGTAAGATTTATATGTGAAATAATTTTACTTTAGCTTCCCAAAGTATGTACCAGGTAGAGATTTATTTTACCACTTATTATTTGTAGTCCTACCAAAAATCATAAGAATAGACAAGGGGACAGAGACCGGTGTTATGGCAACAATACACTGTTTTCTGCATGATCGTATTGGGGATCTTGAAAATCCTGTTGACAGCCCTTCAACCCAAAATAGGATTGAACGATGGTGGAGAGAACTTCACCATCGGATGGAAAAGTTCTTCAAGGAACAGTTAAGAGGTCTTGTAGAAAATGGAGACTATGACTCTTCAAGCATCACAGACAGGTATATCCTCAGTAGTCTTCACTCTATAAATACATCCTTGTAGCACCCCTCACCTTGGATATAAAGAATATTACTGTAGTCTAATAATTTTATACACCTTATATACTAGATATAATATATTATGAAGTGAAATAGAATTACAATAAGCTAAATAAAAAAAACTTAACTCTGAAAGATTAATATTTCAATTTAAAGGGAGAGAGCTGATGAGAGAAAGTAATTTACCTCTTGTTAGAGTTGGGTATTTAGAAGGGGACCTAATTAAATTAGAGTATGTTGCACATTATTTCAAAACTAACCAGACTAAAAATTAGTAACTAAAAATAAGTAATTACATAGTTAATGCCACTGAAACAGTCACACGAATCCATTACATTGGAATATTTACTGGTCATCTCAATTCTGGTGTTGAACCATCTGCTAACATATTGCCACCCAAAATTGCACTGACACTGCAGTCTTTTTTATTGAAATTTGCTGTCCTTTGTTTATATTCCAGTCATTCAAAAGGAGCTTGATATCTTTCGTGTATCTGTGTGGAATACTCACCAAACAAGGAAACAAAAACCAAAACTTCTTCCCACAGGCATCCCCGAACATATTTACAGCTATCCTGAGCAGTATGCTGGTGAGAAGTATGGTTTGCAGATCAGTGAGGAGCTATTGCAGGAAGTTGCAGAATTGTCTGGGGTCTTGGGAAGTGCTGAGCAATTCCTAGATGATGCTTTTCGACAAGAGTGTGAAAGGCATATACCAAACACAGATGAGATTGAAGCAGTTGAGGCAGCCAATGCCTACTTGTATTTAAAAGACAATTTCAATGAAAACAGCATATAAAGATTATACTCCCTTCAAAAACTACTTTTAGCTTTAATGTTATTAAGTATTCAAAAGCTTTATTACCAGTATTAAATACTGTTGAATAGAACTACAGTGTCACTATCACTATAATAGAATCAGAAAGAGAACAGCAATATAAAAAATGAACTATAACAGTGGCACATTTTACCAAAATGCATTGCAGTTTAAAAGAAAATTTATGTCTACTGAGGGACAGGCATAAGAAAGGTTTTTACCTTAATTTGTTCAATTAAAGTTTTGTGTTGGATTTACCTTTTAATTTCACCCTTGTTGGCCATTAATGTAATGCATTATAGTGAATGTACAGTACATGCAACTCTTTCATTGTTAGGAACTTGCATAAGTTACCTTATTCTTGTTCAACAATATCAAGTAATTTGCAATACTTGTTACAAGAATGAAATATTAAGAAGGTCTCTATTGCTTGAAGAGATAAGTTTCCTGAACAGAACAGGATACGCTCATTATCAACATCCTTCAGATTTGTACTTGCAATTTCAGGGTCACAAAGATTGTAACCAACACCCTGGATGTCTAGAACCATCAATTGCTTTCCTGACTTAACATATGTGTAGTGGCAGAAACATTGTGCTTTCAAAGATGCCTCTTCATCATCTAGTGGTATTATGTCACCATTATTGTTTACAAACTTACGGAATGGACCATCAAGATATGGTTCCAATGTGACACAATCATCATTGTGTTTGGCAAAGTACACTTTGATGTAATTAAAACTATCACCAAAATCCTCTGGCTTTTCTTGCACAAGTGCCTTTGCAAAGTTTTGTGCAAGGGCATTCATCTGCACTGACTTACGGGTGTGAATTTCTGTTGATTCGAATAACTCTATGATGGAGTTTACTGTTTCTCCTTTGTACCGTTTCAACACATATTTTCGAGGGGAAATTCCAGAAATTGCTTCAGCAATAAATGCATCCCTGAATCCTCCACATGCAAACTTCTCTGTCTCTACAGAGAGCTTAACTTCCACAGGATCTTGCCACATTTTATCCTTTAACAAAAACTCTTCTATTTGAAGAGTAATAACTTCCTTTTTAGGTTTTATTACTCGTCCGAGTTTCAACATCTCACTTAACCCTACAGAAGCTGGTACTTTTGACACAGTAACATTGGTGTCTTTTTTCACTGTCTCTGATCTGGTAGATTTAGTAGTGGAATCCACACAAGAACAGTCTAACTGATATATAGGTCCTGATGAGAACAGAGAATCGTTGCTGTGAAAAGTAGTTGTAGAGTGATGATTGCCCTCAAGAAACCTATACCATTACACAAAAATAAATCAAATATTTCCTGGTAAAATATCACGAAAATAATAGCTCAGCAGCACAAAATTTAATATCAGGCGTGTGGGCTGTTTTAAATAATTAAAAAAGCATACCTTATATGAATAACTTTCCAGTTCTTAATCTGCCCTACATCAGTAAAAGAGGGACCCCTTTCACCTGCCAAAACATCACATTCAGCTGACGTGCTTTTGACAAGCTGATTTTATGCTCTGTAACGTAGTTGGTTGTTGGTTATGAGATACCATAGTAAGTGGCCCAATACGAGAGTATTTTTGGCACTTTCCTTCGACTGAGGAAGACAGCCGTTGAACAGTAAGATATTCTGTAGCGTTGTCGTTGGAAGATTCTTTATTTTTTCCTACTCTTTTTTTCCCAATTTTGGCTTGATAGCCATCCCACTTTCTTTTGTTTGACATGTTCCATGAACAATAATATTATCATATGAAACAAAGCCTAAGTCTAAAAACCATTCCTAGAAAACACTTCATCTTGCAGGGATATACTGGATCCCTTGCCCAAATGTTTGCTGATGTTTGCGCAAATTCAGTTGTTTGTGCAAATACGTGCTATACGGTTGCAATGGTGCAAATACGGCAATCACAAGGTTTGCACGGTGTTGCAAATTTGATTTTTCAGTAAATATTAATATTATTCGGTTTTATTCTATAGATAGCTCTGGTTTATTCGTTCAACCTCCATGGTTGGGTTTAGGCTAGAGTAATTCTTTATCTTCTATATTCTTTATAAGAATATTGCGAGTAAACCCAAACAATCATAATTGCTTTGTTTAATGTGGAAAGCTTTTTCCTGACAGATGTAGAGCCTGCTGCTGTGCAAATAGCAATTTATCCTATTCAAATTAGGAAGAAGTGTATTTTACTAAAATTGGAAGGGAAAAATATTTTTGCCCACTTCCTTATAACATAAATGACAATTGATATCAATAGGATGTAAATATAATATGTAAATAGAGATATTAGTGTACGTCATGTGTTAGCAACACGTTTTCCATATTACACATCTTATACACTGGCGGTGAAAAAGAACTGCTCAAATGTTGCAATTGTCCTATGTAACAGGAATCGTAACAATCAATCTTTTATTGTACACTAGCGGTCAAAAAAACAACTGTTTAGGTACAAATTCATAAAGAAGAAGCAAATATAGGAGAGAGCTTCATAGGCATTTTGGATAATTCTCTTATTCCAAGCAATATTTCAGTAATGTAATGCAACCTGCCACACTTCCAAGATAGTCAAACAATGGTTTCATGGGAAAAGGGAGTGACAAAAACGGACTGCACAGTCAAAATACCTTAACCCTATTGAAAATCTGTGGGACAATGTCACGGGGATAGTGCAATTGGGAAAGGAATTAATTAATAAAGCATCCATGATTTATGGGTTGCTGTAAAGACTGTCCATAGCATGAATTTCTTTTGACCGTGAAGATTACCACCTTAACAAAAAGTAGGCCACGCGGGTGTAAGGCCGTCATCAATTATAGGGCAAAGGGAGGGTCAACAATATTAATATTTCATTAGTTTAGCATGTATCTAGTCTATATTTACTCGTATATATTGTTAGAGGGACAGTTATGTTCATTTGAGAGCATTTTAACTTGTTTTGAGCAGTTTTCAAATTTTTAAACCTTAGGTAGTTCTTCGTCGTTTGGCACCATTCTACCTACTGTACCTCTGATAAGTAAGTACAACAAGATCTTCAAGCACTAGGTTGAGTAAAATTATTTAAAAGAGGCACATACATGTTTTGCTAACTTGATTTTAATTCACTTAATAAATTTCCTACATCACACCCTAATAGCTGCTTCCACTATCCACCATGTTTTTACAGACATTAGTTGTATTACCTACTTGTTGTATAATATCTCTGGAGTAATACCAAAATCAAGGGTTTAAATAAGTCAATGAGTAGGAATTCCTCCCTAAGGAATGAAATTCATTCTCTTAATATAAGCTGTTAGGAATAAAATTCATTCTCATATAAGCTATTACATATAAGTAATTTAGGAATTTTTTTTTAGGAATTTATAAGGAGTAAGAATTTCTATAGGAATAAAATTCCATAGGTACTTTTAGTAAAATCGAATTGCATAAAATATGCACCACCTCATAAATAACAATCCACACTGTTGAGAAATGTTAATTGATGAAGATGCATTGAATTTATTACCTGAAAGTGGTGTACCACCAGATCTTATGACTGTTGAGACTGATGATGACATAGTTTCTGATAAAAATTGCTCTACTGATGTGGGCCCTTCTACTGATAATCCATCAGAGGATGTTGTTTATAGTGATTCCACTGAAATGAGTAGTTTTTTTTCTGTTGGGGAACAGCAGCAACAGGAAATTGAAGCTCTTAGAAATCAGCTTTCTAAAAATGACCCAATGCAATGGCCCTCAGTTGAAAATGAGACATTAAATGACTATCAGGTATCACATTTAGCCACAATGGCTTTTCCAACTTTATTTCCAGATGGGAAAGGTGATCCTACTAATCAAGGACTTCTACGAGATGTTCCTCTTCAGGAGCGAATAAAGCATCTTTTAAAATTTGCTGAAAATATTTATGGCAAATCGGTTTTAAAATTCGGCTAACCATCCCAGATTCTCTTACTGGGCTTTTAATATGATTAAAAAAAAACGACTCTTACAGCAAAGTGGAATATTCCTAAAACAAAACCCAGGTGAAGCACATCTTACTGTTGTGCAAGGCTTTATTGAGTTTAGAGATATGCATATAAAAATAGCTGTAAAAATAGGAATATCAATAGCACAGAGATTAGTGAATGATTTTTGCCACAAGATGCCTGTGTAAATATAATTTTCGGCCATTAGCAAACATTAATCGCCTTTCCCTTTCATGTAAGACATATCGTGGGATTAAATAAGTAATAAGGTGAAAATATTTATAATCCTCTCAGAACTAATACCTGGGTAAACAGTCTTAAGTCGTCACTTATCTTAATGGTCGCATTTTTAAAAAAATGTGCGTGCTGCAGCAGGCTATTCAAGTTCTTATGTCAATCAATTGTGTTAAAATGTTGCGTGGTCAGGCATGTAATAGATTACATCATCAAAAGTTCAATTCGATAAAATAGGAGTGAAAATAGTTTAAGTTGAAAGATATTGTTCACAGACGTACTGTTTGTAAATTTTACTAGTTGTTGATGATAAATATTTTACGTTGTGAACATTTTTAAGTATTGATAGATTGAGCAGAAGACCAAGTCGACTATTGCGATTAGTCGATTAGTTAACCTATTGTAAAATATCTCCTACCTCGTGTAAATAGAAAATAAAGACATATAACATTACCATTGATGAACTGCGAGAAATGGCAATGAATAACAATGCTAACATGTTTATGTCTAAAGTGTCTAGATATGTTGGCAATATTGCTGGTACTAATTCTAATTGGAATAGAGTAAGAGACGAACTGAAAGCTATAGTAACTACTGCTGGAGCACCAACATTATTTTTTTTCACTTTTTCTTCTGCAGACATGCATTGGCCTGAGTTACATGCTCTATTTAATGCTGGTACTGATTGTCAAACTGGTAATTCCACCGGTCAGGTCAGACATAATCCACATGTAGACTGGTTTTTTACCCAGAGATTGGGAAACTTTTAAAACATTGGCTTTTAAACACATGTAACACTTGGTGGAAAATGGCATTGGTTTAGGTACAACTACGAAGGTAGAGGTAGTATTCATTGTCATGGTACTGCTAAAGTAAATGATCCAGGTTTGTGTCAACTTACTCCAACTGCTTTGAAAGGTTACTTAGCTAAAAAATTTAAGCATGAAAATTATTGTTCTGACACAACTGAACTAGATCAAGATATAGAAGCTGGTCAGAAACCAGCTGAAACAATATGTCAGTATCAGTTTATCAACCGTGAATCCTAATCCACCAGATGAGGACATGTGGATAAGACCTGAGGTTCCTCCATGTCAAAGAAGTCATCTGGACAATCCTGAACATGAAAAACCATCAGATTATGTAGATCTATTAAATATGCTTCAACGACCTTGTAGTACTAGCTATTGTCTAAGAAAAAAATAAAATAAGGCTGAATTGAAATGTAGATTTCATTTTCCATTTGATAATTGTCCACAGACAAAGTTAGAATTTGAAAAAATCCACACTTCGGGTGATAATGAACACTATAGAGCTAAGATAGTGACTAAACTCCAGGGATGGAGAGCTAACTGTGATATTCAGGTTGTTGTCGATCACTATGCTTGTGTTGAATATCTCACAAAATATGCTGCTGAAGGAGAACCACAAACAGCTTTATTGAAACAGGCATTTAAGTCTATCATACAGAATGTTGACAGTAATACTGACCATCGCAGAGCTATTAAAAAAGTAGTTATGAAATGTCTTAGTGAACAAGACTATGCTGCTCAGGAGACAATGCATCATTTGTTGTCCTTAAAACTTCATAGTTCATCATTTAAAGTGGTGCAATATGACAGTTCACAAAATATTATGAATATGAATTTTGTTCAATTTGCCACAACTTAAAGTTGTTAACAATGTACTGACAAGATTGCCAGAGAATGTTATACAAGAATATTTCCAACTTATTCTCCTAATCCCAAAGGTCTGAATTTTGCACTCTATTGTAAATATCAACTATTAAGGTATAAACCTTGGCAAACAACAATAACCTTGGATAAAAACAAACAAAGAAGATTATACTATTCATGAGCAATATGATGTTGTTGACATAAACAGTTTTAGCAAA